CCCCCCCCCCCCCCCCCCCCCACCCCATTCGAGAGAAAGTATGGCAATATAATAATAACTCCTCGCTTGAATCGCCTCATTATTTCCATACGTTTAAAATAAAGTCTTCAAAAGTTTGGATTCGTCAACGTAAATTATGTGAATGAACGCAAAAACTCTAGGATAAAGTTATCTCTAACAAAGGAAATACTATGGGAGCCAAAAACACCTTAAAACCCTATGCTTTGAATATCGCGTGTTGACTTTGGATATTGTATGATTTGGGATCTGCAAAATGGTTACTTGATACATTCTTTCTTTGAATCCTGGCCGAGCGTAGACGAGAAGACTCATATGAGAGTTGACTGAGAATAGAAACGGTATAAACATCTAAATGATTAAAATGAATGGTAATGCATTTTGTCGCTTCTAGGAAACTAAACAAAGATACGAGTGCAACGATTAATGGGCTTCCGAAGAGTTTTCTTTCCCTTTGAGTGGAACGAAAAATAATCGACGATGATGATTGAATTTACCTATCATTTTGCCCCTTTAATGTTATATATTCTCATTGACTAACCGACAGCTTTTAAAAAATTCAACTCTATGATCTAGGAAATAGCTCATTTCCGATAATATTTTGCAGTTTGACTATGATAAAGTAAATGACCTAGTCCAAATTAACGCAATACAGTACATAATGTCTTATCCATGAAAATAGTTTTTAATTTACGATATGAAATTACAACAAAAAATGAGACTGTCTTATTTATGATTATTCTTTTGAGGCCCTGTCTAGTATGTTTGCTTTACTTATGACCTACCTTCTTGGAAAATAAAGTCTTTAATTAAGAAATTATTACCAACTTCCAGAGACGCAGTCTCTATATAATTACATGTTAAACGATACACAGTGTTTACCATCGCTATGAACATTTCTATTCATAAAACCTTTAAAAGAAAATGACTAGTTCAGTGCAGACATAAGAAATGTAAAATCGACTAAAGAAAAATTTTAAAATGAAAAGCAGATGTTGTGCACCGTAGTAATCAGCATTTAAAAATCTCTGGTATTTCAATTTTGAAATGGTTTCTCGGCCAGTTAAATTGCCTTCTTCAGTGATGTTACTTCTCCTGTAAACATCAAAAGCTTTTAAAACTCCATTAAAGATTTCTAGAAACTATTCATCTCCGTTTATTTGATATTCAGGTATTGTTCTCTAGACGAAGCTGTTTTGCAGGCTGCTTGGGTTCACATAGATACGGAACTTTCTTTGAATTAACGACGTACAGGTTTAGAACAGTTTACCTGTTGTTCCTGTTCAGCTGCACTCAGAACGTCTTACAACATCTAGATATTATATGTCAGACATCTGGCTGATATGTCTTTGAAATTTTCAAAAACAATACCAACCGTATTTTTGATAACAGCTACGAAAAGAGGAGAAGCTCTTTCTACTGTATTTCTGGCAGATTAGTTATAAAATTTGTGTTGCTATCTTGTTTTGGAGGCCATACATTTCCTTCAAGCAATTAAGATCACTAGTGACCAGCTTTCCGCTGATTCAGTGAACATCGAAAGAGTTCTATATTATTAAATTCGCCTTTATCGAAAGAAAAAGAAAAGGAATAGGCTGAATGATTAAATTTTCAGATATAAATTTCGCATAAAAGAAACACGAGGATCAGTTTAAGTCAATGGACGAAGCTTAGTTGGTCAAACACCAAAAAAACGTATTCTATTCTATTACTTTCATAGCAGCCAACATAGCTCAGAGAAAATGCAGGCTCTCTACTAAGCTTCACAGTGTATTTCATGACTTGTGGTCCTCATCATCGAATGTCTGGCCACAGTCATCCTAAATATCATCACCATTGTTGTTTTTGTGAAGAAGAAGCGTCAGCAACAGCGGCGGAGTACATATTTGATCATCCATCTGGCGATAGTTGATCTCTTGGTTTCTCTTTTTGTTATCTGTGTATCTTACATCCTCATTGCTATAAAAGTACGATGTAGTCGTCATCCTCAATTCCATTCTAGGTCCAAAAGAGAAAGAAAACTGACGGGTACTGCGCTTATCTTCTCACTTGTATCTTTACTTTGTTTTCCACCAGCGATGATATATGTAGCGTGTCTTCGCTTTTCCTTTACTTGTTTCAGAAATTTTCATATTGATATCGCTGTGTTAGTTCTATTTTTAGGTAACTCACTTGTAAATCCTATAATTTATGCTTTTCGGATGCCAGGATTCAGAGAAGGTTTATCAGAGCTATTTTACAGTGTCCCAGACTTTTCTGGCGGCCCAGAAAACCTGCCACTTCGTAACCTTAGGAGAGCTTAGATAAATTGTAAATAACTTTAACTTAGTCGAGCATCATGCATTTCCATCTTAGTTTTTTAAGAAAAACTACGCAGGTGATATACAAACAGATAATTGATACAGCATAATTTTTCCTTTGAATGAAAACAGTATACTAAACTTACTCGACGTTGTGATCATTTGCATGACAGCCTGACTTGAACCAAAATAAAAGCGACTTTTAACAAGCCCGGGATGAATAACTTAGAGGGACTCTTCCACACCCTCCCCCACACCTCAAATGTTAAGGAGGCTGCTTGAACACTAAAGAAAAGTCCTCTATTGCCTAATTGAAAAACACTTTGCGCAAAGCAAAGCAATGCAAAAATGTGCGCGAGTGAAAAATCCAGGTCCTGAGAATTCCAGAGGGTATACTGGTAAACCGTAATTTTTCCAAAGCTGTGTTTATTGAGTCGGTTAGGTTGAAGTATTATTTTATCAGTGATCCACCCATTCAGGGAGACTTGATAAAAACGAAAAAAAAAATCAAGCAAACAAAAAATAGATAAATAAGAAAAGAAGAAATTCAGGTATCTTAACACTCGTGAGCTTCTTTTTAACCCTTTAACTCTCCGATCTGATTGTTAATTCTCCCTTCTACCTGTTACCCATTTCCATGTAAATTTAGTTCTGAGAATTTTGTGTTAGATCAAGTTAACAACTTCTACCTGGTAAGTTTAAATATTTTCATTATCTGTTTGCTGGATAATGTAGGGATATTATAGGAGGAAGTTTCATGTTGATCACTTTTGGGAGTGAAATGGTTAAGTAAGAAACTTTATTCCGGCTTTAATCGCCTTGATTTTAAATTCAACTTTTGAACCATCGCTAATTTCAAGTAGATCGTGTGACGATATATTTGATTAACAATAAAAAATAATGAATCGTGCGAAATGAAGATAACGAAACTATTTCAACGTTATCAATACAAGTAAAATGCCTTAACATCGCTGTGGATCAGTTATCCAGTCTTTTGTTAGCTCGATAATAAATGCATCGCTGGTATCCATAACAATGAAGTGAACAAAGAACTTAGCGATATGGCATCCGTAGCACTTTCATTTGCGCGACGAAGTGAAACATTCAAAATGACGTTTAGTTTGTTTACTTTGTTTACATGTAGTGTGAAATTTTAAAGGCTGCAAATTTTTATCAAAAATTCATTCACTTTACCGAAATCAACCCATCAATGCAAAACATAAACTGTTGGAATATTTACGGTGGTTTTATGTCACGGTTATTTTTAAAGCAGGTTTTATTCCATAGCTATTCGAGTTACCCTGCATCGGCGGACGACCCCTTGTCAATTTGTTTTTTCTACCTGAAAACTAATTACCGTAGTAAAACGATAATTTTAAGGTTTGATTTAACAACCTTTTTTTCATCTTTTGATATCAAAAGATTTCCTCGACCACTTTATCGTCGCGTTTTATTGCGTTTGGCAGAAAACAAGAGGGAAAAATCATTAAACGAAGCAGAAAATTAGCCACTGCAACCACATTTAAATTGGGAGTCTTGAGTTTCAAAAAGGCTGATTTGTTTAAAAGAGGAATTTCTAGCAAAGCCATCAATACACGAGTCCTATAGTTCAGTGTATTAGATCAGTTACTTCAGTGCAAAGAATATCAATATTTTTATAATATTTTAATATAATATTTTATTATATTTATTTATAAAGAGGAAATTATCTTGCCGAAATTAAAATCTTGCCGTTCATTTCACAAGAAAGGCTTCAAGAAACGTTCCTTCTATATGCTTCTTTTTACGGGCAACTGGGTCTATGATGTCTACGTTTCGGATTGATTGGCAAGCAGAAGTAAGACTGCCGCAATTTTAAAGAATTGAAGTGCGTGATCGACAAAAGTGTTTAAATGAGAGTCTATGTTTATAGTCTAAACACAGTTGTGCTGTTATATACACGCCTGTATTTTTTTAGAAATATACTTTACAAAAGCAATGGGGGACTCTTTGCCGCGTTTCCAAAAGTTTATAGAAACCGGCCAGGGTGAATGATCGTGCATTGAGAAAGTACTCCAAAGTTCTGCATTTCCGGTTTAAATAACTCCTATTATCGTTCTCCCCCGCCCCCCACCCACCATTCGAGAGGAAGTAACGCAATATAATAATAATTCCTCACTTGAATTGCCTCATTATGTATATATTTCCATACGTTTTAAATACAGTCTTCAAAAATTTGGATTCGTTTCTGTAAATTATGTAAATGAACGCAAAAACTCCAGAAGAAAATCGTCTCAAACAAAGACCCCAGGAGCCAAAAACGCCTCAAAAATATCGCGTAGTGTCTTTGGATATTATATGATCTGGGATCTGCAATATGGTTACGCGATACACTCCAATCTCTGAATCGAGTTCTGGCTGAGCGTAGACGAGAAAACCCATATGAGAGTTAACTAACGATAGAAACGGAAGAAACATCCAAACGACTAAAATAAAAAGCAATGCATTTTGTCGCTTTTAGAAAACTAAATAGCGATACACGTGCAACGATTAGTGAGCTTTCTTTCAGTTTTCTTTCTCTCTGAGTGGAAAAAAACATTATCGAAGATGATGACTGAAATACCCTAACCAGCAACTGCACAAATGACTAAGAGAGAAATTAGATTAGAAATTAGAAATTAGAATAAACTTATAACTGCAGCTGCTTGCCATCAGAGGCATTAGAACCACCACTTTGAATGTAGCCGATAACCAAATTATAAATATTTGTTGGAAAAAGGGGAAAAGGGAAAAGGCAGAACGTCGAGTTTCCAAATGGCATGTATCAAAAAAATCGGAATCATCATGAGGAGAGAGTACTACGTTTTTCCACCGGAGTTAGAGTTAAATTAAATACAAATACAGCGGTAGATTAAAAGAAATAAATGTCACCGTGCTATTTTATTTTCTAAAGTTTTCTCGGCTGGATCATTTTTTCCACTTTAATATTATATATTCTTAGGTACTAACCAACAGCTTTTAAAAATTTGATATAGGAAATAGCTCATCTCCGATAACATTTTGCAGTTTGACCATGTTAAAGTAAAGGACTTAGTCTAAATTAACGCAATTCAGGTGTTTGCTTCAATCCATAATTTCGGTTCAGCTGCACTAAAATTAACATACTCTTATTACTTCCTTTATGATCCTGCCTGTGAGATAGTGAACGTGAGGCTGTCAATAAATGTCTTATTCATGGGAATATTTTTAAGTTACGATCAGATAACAACTGTATTAGTTTCAAAAAATTAGATCGTCGAATTTATGTTGATACTCTTGAAATTCTGTCCAGTATGTTTGCTTTACTTATGACCTACCTTGCAAGAAAATTAGGCTATTAATTAAGAGATTATTACCAAATGAAAAATCGACTAAAGAAGATTTTTTAAAGGAAAAAAAAATTTTGTGGACCATAATAAGCAACATTAAAAAAACATGCCTCGTATTTAAATTTTGAAATGTTTGCTAGGCAAGTTAAATTGCCTTCTTCAGTGATATAAATCATCCTGTAGACACCAAGAGGTTTAAAAACTCCTTTCAAGGTTTCTAGAAACTATTCATCATCATTTATTTGATATTCATGCCCAGGTATTGATTCTCCAGACGAAGCTGTTTCGCCGGCGTTTATGGTTATACGTAGATACGGAACTTTCTTTAAATTAACGACTTGTAGGTGTAGAACAGCTTGCCTGTTGTTCCTGTTTAGCTGCACTTAGAACGTCATCCGACATCTCGATATCATATGTCAGACATTTGCAAAACTAATTTCGAGTCTTGATAGTGGTGTGTTAATTCGCTATCACTATTCCTTGGCTCGTTGTTTTCTTATTCATTCGGAAAACCACCTTTGGTCAAATTTGACTTGACTTGTTTAGAGGATACGAAGTACTTCGTTATCAGTGAGGTATGTTCGTAGGATTTCATTCGTTTAGAAACTCTAGTTTTGGTGAGATGAGGTAAGCGAGTTGAAATGGGTGGAAAGAAGTTTGCACTCTTCCTCAGCATGCTTCTTTCTTTTCCATTTGAAAACCGCCCCTTCCGCAATTGACTCAAACTTAATCCTTTAAAAGATAGAAACAATTTCGTAATCGGTGAGGTAAGTTTAAAATATTCTTAAGATACGCTTGAAAATTCTGCCTTCGATGGGATGAAGAAAACTGAATTCATATGGACGGAAATATGTCATTGATAATCTTAATAATCTTAGCGCCACGAAAAAGATATCTTACTCTAACTTGTTGCCTATGATATTGACAAAGGAAAAAATTTATCCGAAGCGAGAAAAAAAAATGACTAAACTTCTGGGTGTAGGAAATAAAAATAAAATATTTCACCATACCTACGCTTAATTTGTCTTGTAATTTTCAAGGCCGCGGGTAACAAATACAACCGTATTTCTAATAGCGGCACCGGGAAGAGGAGCAGGTTTTTCTACTCAGTCTTTCTACTATATTTCCGGAAGATCTCTAAATTTTTTGTTGCCATCTGTCTTTGGAGGCTATAAATTTCCTTCAAGCAATTGAGATCGCTAGTGAAAAAGCTTTCCGCTTATTCAGTGAATATCGAAAAGTTCTATAATTATTATTAAATTCGTCTTTATCGAAAGGAGGAAAAGGAATAGGCTATGATGTATATTCATATACGCATAAAGAAACACAAGGATCAGTTTTAGTTAACAGACGAAACTTAATCAAAGCATATAAAAAAAAACATAGAAATTTGACATATTTCTTTATTGAGAATATTGAATTCATTTTTCATTTTATCTCTAATTCAAATATTTCCTGTTATTTTTAAACTGACAGAGTTCAGAAAATGCAGCGTTTGTCCTCAGCTTCAGAGTGTATTCCATGGCTTGTGGTCCTCATCATCGAGTGTCTGGCCATAGTCATCCTTAATATCATCACCATTGTTATCTTTGTGAAGAAGAAGCGTCAGCTACAGCGGCGGAGCACATATTTGATCATCCATCTGGCGATAGTCGATGCCTTAGTGGGCGTAGTCTCTGGGCCGCTACAGATTGAAATAGGAATGTCGCAGTTCTGTCCTCTATGGAATCACAGACAAAAGACTATTTCGTCTCAGCATTTATCTTTTGCATTTGTATATTTATTCTCGTCCACTTCCCTTACAAATCTTACTGCTATTTCCTTAGAGCGGCTACACGCCACATTTTGTCCTCTTAGGCATCGCTTTGTGAGGAAATGGGTTTATAGAGCCATAATTATTGTCATTTGGTTAATAACTATTGTTAGAGAGGTCGCTCAAATTTTCTTAAAGGGAATCGCTGATCGAGCTGTAATTAATACTTACTTGTACATCCTATTTTATGCAGTTTCTTTATTTGTTATCTGTGTATCGTACATCCTCATTGCTATCAAAGTACGATGTAGTCGTCATCCTCAATTCCATTCTAGGTCCAAACGAGAAAGAAAACTGACGGGTACTGTGCTTATCGTCACACTTGTGTCGTTACTTTGTTTTCTACCAGCGATGATATATGTAGCATGTCTTCGCGTTTCCTTCACTTGTTTCAGAAATTTTCATATTGATATGGCTGCGTTAGTTCTATTTTTGGCCAACTCACTTGTAAATCCTATAATATACTCTCTTCGGATGCTAGGATTCAGAGAAGGTTTATTACAGTTAGTTTACAGGGTCCCAGACCTTTCTTGTATCGCCCCAGCAAACCTGCCACTTCGTAACCTTAGAAGAGCATAGATAACTGGTTGGAAAAAGTTTGTTTCTAAATAACTTTAAATTCTTAGTCGAGCAACATGCATTTCCATCTCATCTTTTTGTTCCTATTAAAATCTCAACATGAATAAGATACGGTATAATTTTGCCTTTGAATAAAAACAGTATACTTAACTTACTCGACGTTTTGATCATTGGCGTAACAGCTTCACTTGAACCAAAATAAAAGCGACTTTTAACAAGCTCGGGATAAATAACTTAGAGGGACTCTTCCACCCCCTCCCCCACCCCCAAATGTAAAGGAGGCTGCGTGAACACTAAAAAATCTTCTGTTGCCCAATTGAAAAGCACCTTGCGCAAAGCAAAGCAATGCAAAACAACCTCTTGAATAACCATGGTTATTATATGGACGAGATTTTTTACTGGGAACTAAAACACTCACGTTCACACTCGTAATATCAATACGACCACCACATCCCGGAACCGAGTGGCGTATTTTTCGTAAGTAACACGTTAGTGGTGATGTTGAGCAACAACGTCAGGATTCGAGTCTCTTTAAACTTTGCTGAGGGAATTTTGTTTTTTTGTCTGATATAGATTTTGATATAGACTAATACGCTTCCTAGATATACGTAGATTACTGCACTTTGTGGGCTGAAAATACAATTCATTTGACAAGGACCAAGTTGTAAGCGAAACTAAATCCTGCTGCAATTTCGAAAAATCAGCATCATCATTTATGATCCCATAACATTTAGAATCGCCAGCAAACATAGCCAGCTTGGCACTATTAATTACATTTGGCATGTCATTTACAAATAATGAAAAGAGAATCGGTCTTAGAAGTGACCCCTGGGGTACACCTGACCCAACGTCAGTCCAATTACTGAAAGTTCCATTTATAACCTCCCTTCGACGCCTTCCAGTTAGGTATGAGTAAAACCAGGAGAATAGGGGGTCATCGATTCCAAACGTTTTTAGCTTCTACACGAGCTTTGCCGGGGACACAGAATCGAAAGCCTTGGCAAAGTCCAAGTAAATTATGTCTGATTCTAGCTCGCGGCCCAGTGCATGACCAATGTCATAGAATACTT